TAGAACAAAGTACTTTAAAAAATCGCATTAAATTTATTACACCTGAAAAAGTTTGTAAATACCTTCTAACCGTTACATACATGCATGGCGATAGTCATGTTGATCTTAATGATACTGAAAAGTTGCTTCTACTGGAATATATTCTTAGAGTTAAAGATGCCAGTAAGCTTCATGGACTTCCTCTTCTTCCAGTTGGAAATAAACCCTTCACCTCTTTTAAGCCTCGATGTCACAACGAATTATATTACGTTGCCAATGAAAAAGAACACACGTTTATTGATAAAAATTTTATGGGAAAAATCGTGGACAACACCATCGGGAAAGAACTTTTAACAACATTACATAACTATGCAACAAATGAAGAAGATATTAATATACAAATTCTTTCAGATGCTGAATTTGCCAAAATTCTCAATGAAAATATAATGTATTATAAAGTTGAAAATTCCGAAAACCTTCAGGAAATAAAGATTGAACGAAAAAAAATGCAATGGATATATAAAATTTGGGATCATTTGCAACAAACCAATAGAGATTTGTCATGGTTTTTGGATGTTTACCTTTTATTAATTGACACAAATGAAAATAATAACTTTATTATTTTGAGAAAATTAGGTGCAAAACAAAAATGTTTATGCCGTTCATCTCAAAAACATTTACCTTTATTTGTAGATATTGTTCAGATATTGTCTTTGTTAGGTTCTACATTCATAAGCGTCAATTTTGAAAATATTTTAAAATATGAAAAGTAAGTTAAGTGTGGTCTTTAAATTTAACACAAAGATATGTATTCTAAATATGCAAAATATATTTTATAGACTCAAAAGTTATGTAATTGAGATTGATAATGTTACAGCCGTTCTATCATCTTTTGAAGTACATAGTTCTTTTCCATCAAATCTTGTTCAAACCAACCTTACTCATCATCAAAGAAATATATTAACCAGCTACCTTGGTTATTTGAAACACGAGCCTTACTACGCAAAAGCTGCAAACATAATCAAATATATTCCATTATTTACCGAAGT